TGATGCTTGGTTGGTCAGGCTGGGGGTGCATCATGTGTGGTGTCCAGTTGCAGCTCTCTGCCGTTATTTACACACCACGGCTTCTGTGTCCGGGAATGCCCTTTGGGTTGATCTAGTTTCCCTTCTTCCCTGTTTCAGGGTTCGGGTTTCCCAGGTCGTCCGCAGGGTGTTTCCGGTCCTGAAACGGGACTGCGCAAACCTCAGGTTCATTTTGGACTTGTCCCATCTGAACCCGTGGGTTTATTGCCCCTACTTTCGGATGACTACTCTATCCCAGGTCCATCTTCTGTTGGAGCCGGATGTTTGGATGGTGTCCCTGGACCTCAAGGATGCATATTGGCATGTCCTAATTTATCCGAGGTTCAGGGATTGGCTTGGTTTTGTTGTGGGGCGCCAGAGTTACTATTGTCATTGCCTTCATTCAGTTTGAATCTGGCTCCTCGCATTTTCACATGCCTTACTCGGGTCGTGGTGGCCCGCTTACATCTGTCAGGTGTTCGGGTTCTGGCCTACCTCGACAACTGACTGGTGTAGGCTCGCAGCCAGTCCATGTATCTGCTCGCCAGGGATTTGGTTCTTAACCAGCTCGCCGGGTTCGGGTTCTTGGTGAACTGACGGAAGTCCCATCTGGTTCCCTCTCAGGTTCGGTCTTGGTTGGGTCTTGTGTAGGACACTTGGACCACTTCCTTGTCTCTCCCTCTAGCGGCTCTGGTTTTGCTGCGTTCCCGCCTTCATCTGATTTTGAGGGGCTCCTGGGTCATGCAGTGGATGCTCGAGGGTTTGTGTGGGAGCCTGAACTTTGCCATGATGGCCGTCCCCGCCGGGTCGGGTGTGGCTTCATTGGCTGTTCTGGTTCCTTCTGGGACGTCCCTTCTGCCTCTCTCGCGACCATTGGGTTCGACCTCCGGGGGCTTTGCGTCTGTTGCTGTGTCGCCGGCTTTCCCTTTGGGTTTTCAAGGTTCAGTGCTGTGGCGCCTACCCCGAGCCCTTGCCCAATGTTTTTACGGACACATCGTCTCTTGGCTGGGGCTTTGTGAGCAGTGCTCACCAGGACGGCCTGGGATGGTGGGGTCCGTCTTTCCACCGGGCTCACAGCACGGTGCGGGAGTTCGCGATTGTGTGGATGTAGCTTCAGAGGATTCGGGTCCCTCACGGATTGACGATGCGCCTCTATTCAGACTGTTCCCGGGTGGTTCATTGCTTGAACCACAGGGGTTTGACGTGGTCCTTGGCTCTTTGGGGCTGGTCGCTTCGGGTGACTCGTCTACTGAGTTCTCGTGGTTTGGCTTTCCTGGCGGTTCATGTCCAATGTCCTGGCAGACAGCCTGTCCTGGTTCATTCCCCTTTTTATGGAATGGATGGTCAATGCCAACTTGTTCAGTTGGCTCTACCGATGTTCGGGCCTCCAGAAGTGGATCTCTTCGCGTCGGCGTGGTCGAGGTGTCTATTGGTATACGTGGCGTCCTTTCCCGACTGCGAGGCTGTCGGGGTCGACACCTTCAAACAGGACTGGGTGAGGTGCAGTTACCTGTACCTCGTTCCCCCAGTTCAGTTGTTGCTCCAGGTCCTGGCTCACTTAGAGACTTACCAGGGGATACCAGCCATGGTTTCAGGTGCTGCTTGCTCTGTGTCCAAACCTGAAGGTCTTCCCGCGGCTCCTCCTCTTTCAGCAGATCGGTTCAGCCCAGTACGAGGCTGGTTCGTTCTTCTCCTCGAGTCTTCACGTTTGGAGTTTCTGACTCGCATCCATCATCATTTGTATGGAGCACAGGTGGCATCATTATTGGTCTCCCACCTGCATGCTTTGTCTCAGCGGCAGTATGAAGTTTCCTGGCGGTCCTTCCGGTTTTTCCTATCACTGCATAGGTGTACTTTGGTTTCTGGTAGGGTTGTTTTGTCCTTCCTTTCATTGGTTGTTCCAGGACCGTCGTCTTATTCTGAATACTGTCGCCTCGTAACGTGCAGTGCTAGGGGAGCCGCTGCAGCTTGCGTTCAATATTGATATTGCTTCTGCTCCGTTCCGCAAGCTGTCTTGTACGTTGTTTCACCTCCAGCCTACTCATGCGCCTCCTGAGCCATCCTGGTCGGTGGACCAGGTGCTCTCTTTTCTCTCTTCTCCTCGGTTTGTGGTGGCCCATTCTTTTCAGAATTGTTTTTCTAAGGCTCTTTTTATTTTCCTGTTGGTATTGGCCTCTTGGGGGGTCATGTCAGGGAACTTCGTGCTCTTCTCCGGCACAGTGGTTTCTGCTCTTTTGGTCCTGGTGGTAGGTTTGTTCGTTTGCAGCCATCTCCTCCTTTTCTGGCGAAGAATGAGTCTGCTGCTTTCTGGAGAGGTCCATGGGTTCTTGATGCTTGGTTGGTTAGGCCAGGGGAGCATCATGTGTTGTGTCCGGTTGTGGCTCTCCATCGTTACTTGCTCGCAACGGCTTTGGTGGCCGGGGACGCGCTTTGGGTTGACCCGGTTTCCCTCCTTACCTGTTCCCGAGCGCGTGTCTTCCAGGTCGTTCACAGGGTTATCATGTCTAGCCAGCCTACTGTTTATCTTCATGCCCACGATGTTCATAAATTTGCTGCCTTGGCTGCCATTTTCGGCAACTTGTCTTGGGTTAACATTCAGGTGCGGATTTTTGGAGGTCGAACAGGGTCCTGGCCGCTTGCTACAGTGTCATTGTTCCTGGACCTCGTAGGGCCTGCATTTCACTGGGTCGGCAGTTGCAGCCAGTTGTCTCGGCTTCAAGTTGAGCAGCGAGGACCGACCGCCTCCCGGGTAAGTTCCTGTTTTCCGTTATCTTTGGGTAGTTAGCTCCGGGGAGCCGACGAGGATCCCCCTCAGAAAACCAGCGTTGAATGTAATGAAACGCCATTTTCTGGGTGAGACCCTGAGGCTCCCTGGCACCCTTCCTCCCTCCAGTCGGCGGTGTTTTTGCGTTTTTTGACATCGAGCCTCAGAATTGTAGGCTGGATCGCTAGCACGATGGTCTGGGGCTCCCCCTTCCCCTCCCTGGGAGGGAGGGGGGTTGCGTAGACATCAGTGCGGCAAGGTGATGACGTCATCCTAGTTTGCTAATTTTCATTTGGGGTAGTTCTGTCCACTCGTTCAGCTTTCGGTAGCAATATTTTTGCCTGAATAGGTGTTTGTTTTCGGGTGCCTACCTTTCTGGGTGCCACACCCGGTCGATGGCAGACAGAGTGCTCCCAACCACACGGGGGTTTCTATAGGCCATTGCTGTTCATGCCTCACTGAGGGGGGCCAGGTTCTGGCTTGTGGTCACTGGTAGGTAAGAACTCCATGAACATTGATACCAGAAAGCTAATATACCCATGGATCAGATCCTTTCTTTTTTGTCTGAACGATATAGCCTGTATTTTCGAGGTTATGCAGCATGTGTTGCGGTTCAGGCCAGCATTCCTTGGAGGAGTACTGTATGTGGTACTGCCACCAGGGTTTAGAAGGAATTTAAGATTATCAGATATTTTTTGAGGGATTGAATGTTCACCAGTAACTCCCTAGTCCTATTATAGCCCTACAGAGACAACAGAAAAGTTCCCAGTATCAACATATTGTCCTACCTAACATCATAATCCTGTCCTATTGACATAGTGGATCTACCTTAGAAACAACTGAATAATTCTGCTCAAAGGGGGATGATGAGGAAATGGAGAGGAAAAATTTGGGAGAGAGAGAGAGAGAGAGAGCATGAGAGAGAGAGAGAGAGGGCATGAGAGAGAGAGAGAGAGAGAATGAGAGAGAGAGAGAGAGAGAGAGAGAGAGAGAGAGAGAGAGAGAGAATGAGAGAGAGAGAGAGAGGAATGAGAGAGAGAGAGAGAGAGAGAGAGAGAGAGAGAGAGAGAGAGAGAGAGAGAGAGAGAGAGAGAGAGAGAGAGAGAGAGAGAGAGAGAGAGAGAGAGAGAGAGAGAGAGAGAGAGAGAGAGAGAGAGAGAGAGAGAGAGAGAGAGAGAGAATGAGAGAGAGAGAGAGAGAGACTGAGAGAGAGAGAGAGAGAGAGAGAGAGAGAGAGAGAGAGAGAGAGAGAGAGAGAGAGAGAGAGAGAGAGAGAGAGAGAGAGAGAGAGAGAGAGAGAGAGAGAGAGAGAGAGAATGAGAGAGAGAGAGAGAGAATGAGAGAGAGAGAGAGAGAGAGAGAGAGAGAGAGAGAGAGAGAGAGAGAGAGAGAGAGAGAGAGAGAGAGAGAGAGAGAGAGAGAGAGAGAGAGAGAGAGAGAGAGAATGAGAGAGAGAGAGAGAGAGAGAGAGAGAGAGAGAGAGAGAGAGAGAGAGAGAGAGAGAGAGAGAGAGAGAGAGAGAGAGAGAGAGAGAGAGAGAGAGAGAGAGAGAGAGAGAGAGAGAGAGAGAGAGAGAGAGAGAGAGAGAGAGAGAGAGAGAGAGAGAGAGAGAGAGAGAGAGAGAGAGAGAGAGAGAGAGAGAGAGAGAGAGAGAGAGAGAGAGAGAGATGAGAGAGAGAGAGAGAGAGAGAGAGAGAGAGAGAGAGAGAGAGAGAGAGAGAGAGAGAGAGAGAGAGAGAGAGAGAGAGAGAGAGAGAGAGAGAGAGAGAGAGAGAGCAGAGAGAGAATGAGAGAGAGAGAGAGGCATGAGAGAGAATGAGAGAGAGAGAGAGAGAGAGAGAGAGAGAGAGAGAGAGAGAGAGAGAGAGAGAGAGAGAGAGAGAGAGAGAGAGAGAGAGAGAGAGAGAGAGAGAGAGAGAGAGAGAGAGAGAGAGAGAGAGAGAGAGAGAGAGAGAGAGAGAGAGAGAGAGAGAGAGAGAGAGAGAGAGAGAGAGTGAGAGAGAGAGAGAGAGAGAGAGAGAGAGAGAGAGAGAGAGAGAGAGAGAGAGAGAGAGAGAGAGAGAGAGAGAGCATAAGAGAGAGAGAGAGAGAGAGCATGAGTGAGAACTTTCTCTTGTTCACATTTTCTCCCCCCCCCCCCCTTTTTTTCAAATTCTTAACCCTGGCCCCTTTCCCCCTTCTGCATTCTAAGTCTAACTGAAGACATGATGTATTTCAGGATGATCACTCAGGACTGGATGAACTAAAATTGGGTGGTGCCATATATGTCCTTGGTGTTATCTTCTTCAAATTGGATGGAAGAATTCCCCTTGCACATGCAATCTGGCATTTATTTGTGGTCCTCGCCGCATTTATCCATTACTACGCTGTTCTCACATACCTCATCCTTGCACCGGAAACTAGTGCAGCCATGCATGACACTCGCTCCCTTGAGGAGTGCGATGTCTCACTGGCCGAGTGTTCCACAGAGTAGGTGCTGTTATTGGATGGGAAAAGTCATGTGAATTAATTCATATTTCATGGCCAAGATATAAGTATTGATTCTCAGGTGATGATTATATATTTTTTTTTACACAGTGAATGTTAACTATGCATATGCTGTATGTCAAAAATCTATGAGAACATTAGGTAAATTACATTTTCATCAAATTTGTTGAAAGTATTTTTTATATTTTTTTTTTATAATAAATCGGTTATTAGGGAGAAAATGCTGAAGCTTGGTTTCCCTAAGGCTGGTTTTTCACAGTTAACAAGGATGATAGTTCAAGGTTATATCTTGATAAAGGTCTCTTAATTACTACATTAGTAAATGAGATTTTTCATGGCATTTATTAAAAGTAGGAGCAAATTACGAGAAATGCTATAATGACTTCTTATTTGACCACATTAGTAGGAAATGAGTTTAGTGTCAAATAAAGCCACTTAAAGTGATTACATTATCAAACTCATATCCACTTACTAATAATAGGAGAGAAATATGTTTTATTTAATTATTATTAATGTATAAAAAGGAATGTAAAATTTAGTGATTAAAATCATTCATTGCATTCTGCTTGGGGTAAAATCACCAGTGCTGGTTGCTGGCCACTCCCAGCAAAATAAAACTACATCCCATAAAATTTAAAAAAATATTAAGGTGAAAAATTTCATTTTCTGGGGGGGGGGGTGCCCTTCGGCTCCCCGGAGCTATCCAGGCTGATATGTATATCCCTAAACTTTTGTATCACTCAGTGTGAATGGAGTTCTAGACCTACTGGGGACCATGGCCAGAACCTGGCCCCCTCAGAGAGGCACAAGGAACAATGGCCTATAGAAATGCACATGGGATTTGGAGCATTCTATGTCTGCTATTGACCGGGACAGGCACCCAGAAAGGTAAGCGCCTCAAAACAAACCCCCTTATTCTGGTTAAAATTACTAAAATAGACCAACTAGTGGACAGAACTCTCCAAATGAAAATGAGCAAACAAGTATGATGTCATACAAGCCGCGCTGCATGTCTGCGCAGCTCCCCCCTCCCCGGGAGGGAAAAAGGGGGAGCCCCAGACCCCCCACACCGGCAATCCACCCACCACTTCTTCGGCTGATGTGATTGTGGCATGGTCATGTGGCTCTAGCTCCAGACTCTTTGTGTTGTGCTGTACCTTGGACTTAGTACTGCTCTTACGGTGGCGTGCAAGCTGGGAGTAATATTCACAGGTACTTGGGCTGCATGTGCTAAGGGGTTACCTTTTCCGAGTGCCCTGTAAGTGCTGCCCTTGGGGCTTGAGGTTATCTTCCACAAGTCACCTTGGGGTCTACCTCTGTTGGTCTTTTGCTGCTTGGCAATTGACCACCTCGAGTGTTTTGGGGGGTTTCCGCCCTTGTTTATCTTGGGGTAAGTGGTAGTCTTTACCCTGGTAGGGATGTGGAGTACTCCGCAGCTAGTTCTCACTTATAACAGCACCGGCCCTGTTCCTCCTGGGTACGTTGTCCTCTTGCGAGGTTTTTCTTTTACTTTTTCTTTTTACCTGGTGGGGGAGGAAGTCTGCCTTGGTGTCTCTTTCCCCAGTTATATTAGGGTTTGTCCTGTTTTCGGTGGTATCCCCTGCTTCGCCCTCGTGAGTGGATATGTCCTGAGGGTTCTGCATTAGCAGTTTGTTTGGAAGCATTGGGCGCTGGTTAGCAATACCCTGCCTAGGCTTACCCTTAGCGATATCAGTCTATGGGCCCTTGGAAACCCTGCAGGGGCACACGGGGTCTGATGGATGCGACCCTTGGGTCCCCTCTCGCCTTCTGCGAGTTTGACGGATGCTCTGTCCCCTTGTCTCAGGGTGACGCTCATAGTTTTTGCCTCCGTCATGCTACCTGTTGGGTCGGTGACACCTTCGACCCAGAGTCCTGCGAGCATTGTTGCTTGTTTATGACTCAATTCACCCAATCTACTGATGACCTTATTCGGGTGCAGGTGGCTCACGAGCTGCAGGGTAGGTTTAGGTTGCTGCAACGTGCTAGGTTGGTTGCTTCCCCGGATGCCCCGAGGCTGCCCCGCTTTGCTCATAGGGACCCGGACTTAGGGGGTGTTGGTTGCGTCGGCCTTGGTTCAGTCTGTGCCCCCGACTCATTTATTGACTCAGCCAGTGCTATCTGGACATTCATTTATTGACTCAGTCAATGCTATCTGGACTAGCTACCGGTGCTTGGACTATATTTAAGGTCTTTTCTTTGCATGTTTCCGTATGGGTTTTTTCTCCCCCTCTAGGAGGGGCTTGTGGTTACGCGGAGTGGGGTCTATCCTCCCCCCTCGTCATACAAGTTGTTGGGCATCAGCCCCTCCCCAGGCTCGGTTCCTTGTCCTTTGAGTCGGTTGGTTCCGTCCTGTAGGTGGGTGCTCTTCTCCGTTGCTCCCCCCTTTTTTTTGGGACGGTGTCTTCGTCATGTTTCCCCGTTCTTGGGGTTCTACATGACTTTTGGTCTTGGGTGCGACTGTGCCTTTGTGTGCCTTCGGGACTGGTGTTTGCTTCTGTGTTCTTGAGGGTTTGGGAAGGTTTTTGCTTCTTCCCGTATTATTGGAACGTCTGTCAGCTCCTAGTCCGGGTCGCCGTATTGGGCTACTCGTGGCCAGGTTGGGTTCCCTTTGGGCTCCTTGTCTTCGCTTCGTTGGCCGGTTATGTTGTCGCTGCTTCCTCTTTTGGCTCCTGTCCTGTGTGATGGGTTGTTATTTCTACTTAGCGGTTCCCTAGGGATGCATTCTGTTTGGCTACTTTTCTTGTGCATTAGTCCTGGTTAGCGTTGTCCCTCAGAGCGGGTTGTGTGGTTCGGCCAGCGTGTCCTGCGCATGCGCCGTGGGAGTTTGTTTTGGTCTGGGCGGTGTATTTCAGTGCTGGTGTTTTGCGCCCTTTTTTCTCGGGTGCTTCGCCTCTCGCTCTTCTCCCTTCTCTGGTATGTGCCCCTTCGCTCCGGGGGTGTCCTGGATTACAACTGTGGGGAGGACGCCGAAGTTTTCCCTGTGTCATGGGTGTGGGCCTCCTCCTACACCTCTACCCTGCTCTCCTGCGTGTCCGGCTCTGGCTTCTTCACCTGGCGGTGCTCCCAGGATCTTCTTGGCACTGTTGGATCGTGTCACGTTCGTGCCTCCGTTCAACACACGAGTTTCTGCGGTCTGGCGTCTTTCGGCCAGGCGCTGGATGCAGAGATGTTTATATACCTGTCTTTATTTAGGTATATTTATGTACGTACGAGACCGTTAGCACACCGGTGACTCCCTTTTCAACCCTTCCAGCCCCACTCATGTGCATGTCTAACCCATGCTAGAGTCATTCAGGGGACCCACCTCTTTCGTGTTATGAGGTGTGTGGGTTGTGGTACTGGTTATGTACTCACCTGGTTGTGCTTGCGGGGTTTGAGCTCTGGCTCTTGGGACCTGCCTATATGGAAGAACATGCGGGATAGTACCAGTAGAGTGCAGTGGTGCCATAGGCACAAGCGGGGAACACTGTATAAACATCAGAGGTCTAAGGTTGTTACACGTCCTACCTGCGATCATTCACCATATTGCCGGTACATCCATGGACTTCAAAGAAACCAGACCTATAGCCTGTTTTCGAATTGAGGTTCCGGCCCATCCTAATTTGCTTGTTTTCTGTTGGGGAGTTCTATCCACTATTTCGGCTTTTGGTAGCAATTTTAACCAGAGTAGGGGTTTGTTTTGGAATGTTTACCTTTCTGGATGCTTGACCCGGTCGATGGCAGACATAGAATGCATCCAACCACACGGGGGTTTCTATAGGCCATTACTCCCCTTGCCTCTCTGAGGGGGCCAGGTTCTGGCCGTGGTCCCCGGTTGGCCCCTAGAACTCTATTCACATGACTGATGCCAAAGTCTGACATTAGCATATCAGCCTGGTAAAGCTCCGGGGAGCCTCCGGGTCTCACCCAGAAAATAGTGTTTCATTACATTTAACGCTGTTTTTTTTTTCCTTTTTCTGTCTGTTGTTTCTTGATCAGCATCTTATGTCTAATATTGTTGCCTTTTATCTTTCTGTCATGGAGGAGCCACTGTTTTTGGCATTAATCATTGATACTTCAGTGCCATTCTTCAAGTTGTATCACATGTTCTTCCATCTCTGGCCTTTTCATTCTTCTCCTGAGCCCTCTTGATCTCTGGATCAGGTTCTCATACTTGGATCATACTTGAAGTGTATGTTCTAGGAGTTCTTCTACTCCCCAAGCCTGGCTCTTGTGATAACTTGGTCCAGCAGACTGTTGCTTGGAGTAGCACGAAGAGCCACATATTCTGGTCTTTCATCTCCTTCGTTCTTGGTTGTTCCTTTCAGTTTGTGATTGTTTTTCAAAGCTTTGTTTTGTTGGCTATTGCTTCCAGTTGTTGGCTTGGAGAGCTTTATGCTCTCCTCCAGAAGTGGGGGTTCTGTTCTTTTGTCCCTGGTTGGCATTTTTTTTAATTGGAGCCTTCTCTGCTGGTGAAGAATGAGTAGGCTGGCTTCTGGACAGGTCCTTTAGCTATCAAGTCTTAGTTTGCTTGTCCAGTGATGTCCAGTTTCAGCATTTTGTCACTATGTGGTTGCACTACCTACCCGTTTTGCACTTGGGGAATACTCTGGGAATGCATACTCGGGGAATATATTATTCATTGATATTGTTTCTTGGTTCCCTGTTCCAAAGTTCATCTCTCTCAGGTTGTCTACAGTGTCATTCAATCTAGTCAGCCTTCAGTGTTCTCTATTATGTCTTGAGCTAATATCCGGGATCGGGGTGGGGTGGGGGTTTGGAGGTCTAACAGGGCCTTAGTGGCTCATTACCTGGGCAGTGTCCCTGATCCCCATCAGGCTTGTGTTGCTCTTGGTCAGGTGTCCCATTCTGGGCTCTTTTTTTTTTTTTTTTTAGGGTTTAGTATTTGTTTTCCTCCTGCCTGATAAGTCCCAGCTTCCTTCTTTTCTGTGGTTAGTTTCCTATAGGGAGCCACTATTCGACCCCTCCAGAAAACCGCCTTTGAATGTAATGAAACGCTTCTTTCTGGTTGGGCCTCAGTGGCTCCCTGGTCCCTCCCTTCCCCTCCTACCAAGTAATTACCTAAGTGTAGTTACAGGATGAGAACTACGCTCATGGTGTCACGTCTTCAAGCACTGTCACATAATGCTTTCAAACTACTGACTGTTTTGGCCTCCACCACCTTTGCACCTAACTTGTTCCAACCGTCACCACTCTGTGA